TCTTTCCCTGATATTCCCTACTTATTTTGGGGGCAAAGACCGGAGAAGTTTTTGCACCTCTGCACATCTAATCAAAATCATACTACAGGCAGACAAATGTTAGCAGTATCTCCAGATTTCAAAGTGACTTTCAATGACTTCTGTTCATTATGTCACTTACCCAGTCCTCCACAAGACTTTCTGATGATCATCCGCAGAGAGGAGGGAGAAGAGCATGGAAAAGCACTGTTACATCAAACATAAGTCAACAAGGGAAGTTTTAGAAAAATGGCCACTACAGATGTGCAAAATGTGTTTGGTCTTTTTCCAAGTTCATCTTTAAGCTTCTTCCTTTAAGGTCTTCAATGGAAGCTTCAGTTATTTAAATAGTGGCTTTTTATTAATCTGGTCTGTATTATTCAGACACTACAGCATTTCATTATAGTTTATCTCGTTAGAAAATCATGATAATATGTTTTCCATTAAACTGATACTATGGGAATCAGTTGTGATTACCATAATACCTGTCAGACACGACTCCAAAAAGAGAACAGAAAGAACAACACGTGTTTCAGCTGGGGAGTGGGAAGGGAAAACCAAAAAGGACAGGGCAGACAGTGCAATCAGCTTTCCCAGGGTTTCAGAAGACCACTTCAGCAAACCTCCAAGGCTGCATGGACCAGGACACAGGCACTACCTCAACTGCCTGTGGAGCATCTCTGTGTCAAAATGGAAAGACAGTCTGTAAAATATACTCTCGGAAATCACTTAACTGTAGACATCTAATGGAACATCTATTGGAAAAGGATTATACTGGAGAGCAGATGCGATTTTGTTTTTCAGCTACTCAGAAACATAGTCTGAGCACTTGTAAAAGCAACTCAACCATGCTCAATGGCTTTTCTTTTCAGCAAAGTGCCTGCTGCTTCTTATATTCACATTTTAGGCACAACATTACGGATGTCCTATTTTATCACTCTGCTTGTTCACTACCCAGGTGTATTTCTGGGGTCACAAAGTGAAAGTGTGAGGGTTGTTTAATGACCAGGAAAATTCAAGGTAGATTTAACTGAAAAACAAGTACAAAGTGTGTCACAGAAAGAACTTGGCTTTTTCTTGTAGCTTCGTAACATACTAACTGTACATTTGCCCTGATGTCCTATTGAATTACACAGACCAAGAACACTTTCCTTTGTTTGAGTAACTCTTAAAAGGGGAACATTCAATTCAACTGTACACTTTAAAAAGTCAAACAAAAACCCTCCTACACAAGAAATTCTTTGTTACTTTCCGTAACCACAGGAAAAGTAAAGTTAGTGCAATCTGAAATATCACACAATTTCTCTTTCCCATCCAGAGGTTTTTGTTTAAGTTTGTGGTTTTGTTTTTTTAACTGCTTCAATGCTTATCAAATTATTTTGTAGAAAGTACCTGTTTTTAAAATGTGATTCCATATCCAGGTGCAGTTAAAAACAGAAACCTAATGGTCTGTATATAAAGCATCTTCACTACCCTTTGGATTAAAGTAATTTTTTCCATAAACTTCAATAACAAGTAGTTTCAACATAATATCAGCTGAGACCTAAAATCAGAACAAGTCAAGCAACCTGATTTAGTCACAAGATTTTGGGAATCCACTGTGGCTTGAGTCACCGGTAGGTACTACACGATCACACTGTCTAAAAGTCACAGTTGTCTCAACAGCAGGGCAATAGCTCAGCACGACCCCATGCTGTTGGCTAATATGGCTACA